ACCGCACATTTTCACGTCAAGTTTGGATTTTATAAATCACAACCTTTGCGTAAAAAGTGGCGTACGCAAGTTTCTGGGCTCAAATTGTGCGTACGCCAGTTTTATAAATCTGACCCCTGGGCTCAAATTGTGCGTACGCCAGTTTTATAAATCCGACCCCTGAACTTTCCTTTTAAGTGACCATATCCACGAGCTCTTATAAACCATCATCAGCTCTTTAGTTCTAATTCAAAACATAACTTAGATCTCAACAACACACGTCTCCAATAGGGGTTTAACAATACATCGAACCACATCGATACTGTAAATAACGATTCAATTATATCAAGGTAAAACAAAAACATTAAACCATATGATCATCATATTAATCCTGGACTTGTAAACTGAATAGAAATTGTATCATGACAGACTCTGTGATATCGAGAAACATCACCCTCCAAACAAATCAATATAAAATTGTATTGTGATAAAGCTGCTGGTTTACACCTCCAGCCTCTAACAGCAGCTAAAACCAATTTTAATGAATTCAGTTTATCACTTCTTCTTAATTTTAAAATGGATGTGCAATCAAATGAGGAAGTTTGCAAAACAGCAACTTACACTGTGTAATACTCTTACTGGTAATAACACCAAGTCTATTGTGATATACTATGTTTGAGACAACAAAACATATATGGTACGAGYTGCAACATGCATAATGGATAAGTGAACAGACCTATAGAAAAACTGAAGATCTGTAGCATTACTGGCTGGTAACCAGGAACAGTTAACCTTATTGGTTTCATAGATGAAGCACGTCAAATTCTTCACCAGCTCTGAGAGGAACACAAACACATACATGAACATGTTTTATCTAAATAACACCAAAGAGCAATTTTTTACATTTCTCTGCAGCAAATTATTCCTACTTCAAGATCAGAAGAAAATTTTTAGAAAGAGTAACGGCCTACCTGGGTATGTGACTTCAAAGACCACCGGTTCACTGGTTTCACTTTCATTACAGATAGTTTTCATGGAGTAATGCAGAAATCCTCCCTCCATTATCTCCTCATAAGTGGTTTTTGTTGTTGTGTTGTCGATTTCCTATTAATGAGAAAAAAACTAAGTGAGGAAAATATCTAAAGAAAAGTTTCACCTTTGCCAAAATATCAATGTTGTTCTTATTTGTTAGATCTTGTTGGAAACAACTGGTTCTTTGTTTTAGTTCAATCACACAAAAAATCCTTAATGGTCAAATTGTGGTTTGGTGTTTACATTTCGATAACTACTTTGACTACAGATCTTTTAACATCAGGCAGGAAAGAACATCGTGGTGTTGCTGCTAAAGAAATCATCATGTTTGATCACATTCAAAAACCATTTTATTAAAACATAAAGTCAGCTTCAAACAATGGGCTTGAAGAGCTAAAAGTCACGAAAAAAGCTTTTTAAAAGCTAAAATAATAATGTAATATGGTTGCCAGAAGCTAAAAGCATCAAAAAGTTAGATAAAAACTAAATGCAGTTAAAGGCTACCTAAAAGTAGCTAAAGGCTAACTTTATTTATTTTATTGATTTACCTTTATTTAACTAGGCAAATCCCTCTGAGCTTACAGGTCTCTTCTGCAAGAGCAGCCTGGGCCTGAAGGCAACCTATTGTACAGGGTGGGCTTTTTCTATGGATACACTTAAATAAAATGGGAATGGCTGGTGATTTTAACTTCCTGTTTGTGGCACATTAGTCTTGGGAGGGGGGAAACTTTTCAAGATGGGTGGTATATAAGCATACCATTGTAGGGTTGGGCATAATCGTATCGTGTGCAATTAATCGTCAGAAAAACATTAATCGATTAATTTTTGGCACTTGACGATTAATACGATTAATGCCACCWGGCAGACTAACCGCTTGGTGCTCCTCTCTGCTTCAAATATAACAAACATTTTAAAAAGTTGTGTAATTTATTTATCTATCAGCACAATTTAACGATTGATGTATAGCCTGAAGTCTGTAATTTTGACACAAATTGGAACAGATTTTTACGAAGAGCAAATTTTCTCCCTATAAATTGATCATGTGACTAGGACATAAGGGTGTCCAGGGACTCCGGGGGATTAATCGTCAAATTAATCGTTATCGGCTAAATACCACAATTAATCGTGATTAATTTATTTGCCAATATTGCCCAACCCTATACCATTGTTTTTCTTGTGAAATTCTCAGTAAGTCTGATGTGTCACATGACTTTCTTCCCATTGAAAAAACTCAAGTTGGATCCAAAACGGCTGACTTCAAAATGTCCGCCATGGTCACCACCCATCTTGAAAATGTGTGTGAATGGGTGAATGTCTGTAGTGTAAAGCGCTTTGGGGTCTTAAAAGGGACTTAAAAGTGCTACATAAGTTCAGTCCATTTACCATGATAAACTTCATCAGGAAAACCATAACTCATTATCTCAAGCAAACCATCGGGAAATTAACTCGTTATCTTGAGAAAACGCGCATCGTCACTTCGTGATAACACCGTAAGGAAACCATGGGAAAAAATTGCAGGCGGAAAATGTCCACTCTGACCAGGGGTGTAGCACCAAATTTTGGGCCCTGTACACTCTGGATGTCAGTGGGCCTCTATCCATGCCATGCCAGTGCATGAGGTGCATAAGCAAAAAAAGAAAAAAGAAGAAAAAAGGGGGTATTCTTTTAAATAAAGAAGCTTAAAGAGGGTTTTAAGCTACAGTAAGATCAATGGTTCTCTCATTCACCAGCTGAATTGATGCATTTGGCCTACCTGTGTTCAAATATCTAAAACGTTTTGCTACATCTGGTTTGTGTACTAATGTTGTGATCCATGACACTTGAGCAAATTTTGATTTAAAACATTTAATCTTGAACTTTAGACAAACATTTGGTACATGACGTGTGCTCAGTTTAACTGTTTGCACACATCATAAAATGAACATCAAATGTTTCTTTTGTGACGCAATAATAGTCAAACCATATTCACTGAGATTATGTTCACCTTCATTAAACCATGTTCTGTATCAGTCCTTTAAACTCACTGAGAATACAGTTTGACAATCAACCATAGTTTCATACAGAGACACACAAGTGGAGCACTACAGCTGTGTTTATTCTCTCTAACAGAGATCAGAAGGCTTGTGTAAAGGACACACTGGAGGGGGGTCTGGGGGTCCTCCCCCAGAAATCTCTGAATAAAATACAGGCTATTTCCTGATTTCTAGTGTATTCTAACAAGTTGTTAAAGATATTTTTACTTACACAAATAAAGACAATTAGAGACAACTAAAGGGTAAATGGACTGTACTTATATAGTGCTTTTCTACCCAACCAGGTCACTCAAAGCTCTTCACACTACAATCTGTGGTTGATAAACATTGTTTTCACGTCAAATAAACAAGAGCATAGTAACATTATTTATTAGGTCATTTTTGTCCATTTTAAGTACACTAATCTTATTATTTTGTAACAACAAAGGCAAAAAAATTCTTAGTTGTCATTTTTAGTGTAATTCAGAAAATCTTTTCAGGACCCCACCTTGATGTTTCAGGACCCCACTGTGGGTCCCGACCCCACCTTTGGGAGCCACTGCCAATAAAGGATTTGAGGACAATATCTGAACCATCTCAGGAACCACTGGCTAGACTTTACTGAAAACTTTCAGGAAGTTATATTTAGGTTAGTTTCAGGAATCTACCCGAGTCAAGATGGAGGCCAGATGTAGGAACACAGAACTGTTGGAGATACTGAACGACCTTTTGGTTTAGTAGGATTTGAAAGTGATCACACTCAGTGAGGGGTTTCAAACTTTGCAACTGTGGACAATGTCAGGTATCAAGCTTTCTCACAAATCAGCTCAATGAAATGTTCAGAAAATGACACTAGGTGTCGAATCTGCATCTGATCAACTGTTGGGTTTTCGTTCTGCTGCTTTTAGCCTTACCAACTCAGTTTCAGCTTAGTCAGCAAAATCCTTCAGCACTCTGCATTTTAGGAACATGTTCAATTTCTGTAAATTCTTTTAATGCAGAAACAATGAGGATGGTTTCTGGAACACTTTTTATATACTTTGGGACACATCATGTGGATTATTACACATTTATTTCAAGTCCAGAGCAAATATCCTCACATTGGGCCTCATGCAAGAACCGTTCGTACGCACAGATTTGTTCTTAAGTTGTGCGTACGAGTGATTTAGGAGAATTTGTGGCATTCACCAATGT